CACACACACACACACACACACACACTGATGTTCAAAGTGAGGTCAGCATTAATGAACAGAGACAAAACGATTGATAAGATTAAATTTAATGATAATTAATCAATACAGAAAATCCTCTCTCTCTCTCTCTCCCTCTCTCTCTCCCTCTCTCTCTCCCTCTCTCTCTCTCTCCCTCCGTCTCTCTCTCATTTATCCATCTTTTATTCATCACTCGTTCCTCTGATCTGTTTTATAATCGATGTTTATGACCTGAGGAGGAAACGCTTTAATAAAACATTCATACAGCTCAGATAATTAATACACACAGTGTGTGTGTGTGTGTGTGTGTGTGTGTGTGTTCATGTAGAGTTGTGTGTTTGTTCTTTCAGGTTTGTCCAGATTTTTTTTTTAAAAGCCTTGAGAATATTTTCAAAATAAAACCTTTTAAAGTAAAGTGGACACGATCCAGTTTTCCAGAATCTGATGATGTTTTACTTCAGTTGTTTATCAAAAGTTTTTCACTTTAAATTGTCTTTTGTTTTTAACTCTCTGTTTAATTAAGTTCCTCCATCATCACATGTTTCTCGTTGTTTCTCCTTCTTCTTCTGCTTCGCGTCGCTCGAGCGGCTTCACTCATTAATATCGCTCCAGTCACAGTGTGAGTAACGAGGCTGTAGATCACACTCAGACTTAACTGCTGTTCTTATTGCTCCCTGACGTCCGCTCAGTCACTGATGAACTCCTGTAACTGTCTGTTTGTGTTGTTCCCGTCACTCACATCCTGTGGCGTTTCACACAGCTCCTCCCTCCTCACGTCTCCACGGCGACAGGAGGCGTTCGACCTCGTCCCTTAGGAAAAACAGTTCTAAGAAAGAAAGAAAGAGGCTTCATGGTTTATAGAACACGTGATCATCACACTGGTCCAAATGAACGTCCTGTTTCTTCTTCTATGGTTTAATGCTGTCTCTACGTCCTGTGATTGGTCCAAAAGTCCAAACTATCCAAAAAGGTGTTTTCACTCTTCAAACCAACAGAACCATGGTTCAGTTTGATCCAGACCCAGATCTGGATCGAGGTTCTGACTAATGCTACAGCCATGGTCGTCACACTTCTCTCTCTCTCTCTCTCTCTCTCTGTGTCTGTAGATCCTTGTGGGAGGTCTGGAATATTCCCCGGGAACGCTCCACATCTACTCCGACAGCGCCCTGACGCTTCCCGCCATCATCGGCATCGGAGCGGGCGGAGGCGTGCTGCTCATTGCGATCATCGCCGTGCTGATCGCCTACAAGAGGAAGACTCGCGACGCAGACCGGACTCTGAAACGCCTCCAGCTGCAGATGGACAACCTGGAGAGCCGGGTGGCGCTAGAGTGCAAAGAGGGTGTGTTCTACAAAAATCAGTTCTAAAAGAAAAACGATGAATTACTTTGGTTTGTTTATTTAAAGTGCAACTCCCTCTTGATTCCAAAGACAAGCCAATGTTTGTGCTAAGCTAAGCTAGGCTAAGCTAGGTTTAGTATCCATTAATATGATTCTGCAGATTGGATAAAAACAGGAATGTCTTAAATACTTAAGTCTCTTTTTCTACACTAGCATTTTCTGCTTAGCTCCTTCAAGTCAAAATAAAATAAGCGAGTCGCAGCCGTGAGCAGAGTTCAGACCTGCACATCACACGGCTCTCTCCTCATTGGCTGACAGAGCAAATATAGTATTTCTGAGTTATTCTTTCCTTTTTGTTCCTGATCGATTCAGATTTAAATCCTGAAATGTTCCAATTGAAAACAACACGGACCTAAACGTGAAACCTGAGGAGCTCCTGAAACTGGGTGTTGATTAAAAGTAGCTGATTAACAAACAAAATGTTTTAGTAATTATTCAGAAGAGTCACTCAAATCATAAATCACATTAATTGATACAGAAGTGAGATCGTTAAATCAATTACTAATACTTCTTTAGATCAAAGTGTTTCTATCAACATTGAAACCAAAGTTTTCCTGTTTCTGAAAGTGAAACAAAAACCAGGCGACAGATATAAAATATTCAGAGTTATTTATAAAAGAAGGAAAATGTAAAGAGGACGAGGGAAAACAATAAACAAACAAATTATTTTAAGATCAAGTATAATTTAAAGCTTCAGTTTATTTCAGTACAAAGAAACATCCAACTGAGACGTGTTTCACTTGTGATACATAAATTAATTAATTATTGTAATAATTGCTTTTTATATTTTTAGTTTTAAACACAAGCTAAATCAGCAGAATAGACAGAAAAACAATGAAACTGAATCTGGCAGATAAATAAAATGGACATGAATCATGTATCAGATATTAGATGATGATGACTATGATTTTTATTTATTGATTCATTCAGTACTTAATGTTGGTTACATAACGGAGTGTGTGCGTTTCATTTGTGCAGCGTTCGCAGAGCTGCAGACCGACATCCAGGAACTGACCAACGACATGGACGGAGTCAAGATTCCTTTCCTGGAGTATCGAACCTACACCATGAGAGTCATGTTCCCTGGGATAGAAGAACACCCGGTGCTCAAAGAGCTCGACGTACGTTCAAGACGGTGACACACACACACACGTCTGCATTCACTCACCGGGGCTTCATCCACACGGCTGCGTTCTCATTTAAAAACACACCGCTCCAGATCCAAGTCCAAGTCCCAGAGTTTTAACGGTGTGGATGTAGCCTAAATGTTCCAGAAGCCTCAGAAAGCATCAGAGCTGCTTTAAAAACTTTCCGTGTGGAGAAAGCGAACAAACCCTCGGCGGCAGCATCTCTGAGCCTCGGTGAAGCTTTAATTAAGAGAACCCAGCAGGAAGCTCTGAGCCACTGAGCCTCAGCCACGAATTAGATTCTCTCAGATCCTGATAACTGAGTGGAAGCAGACGATTCCCCGGGTGCAGGGATTTCTCTAAGTTTGATGAGAAATGGCAGAAAAGTTTTGTGTGTGTGAAGCTGAATTCTCTTCGGACCCAGAGACGTTTTCCGTCTTTTTAATCCACCGTCAAAAACCTTTTTGTTTTTAAATTATTTAAATTTTCAAAGGATTTCAGGTTATTTTTTTCAGGTTTTATTTCTTTCCTCTTCGTCCCAGTTTAGATTTTACTGAAGTTTGAATGACGATTAGAGTTTATTATGACTATCTCAGTTATCTGGTATAAATATTAAGCTTCACTGGAACAAGTTACAACAGTTATAGTGCAACATCAAAATATTAATATATGTCTTTGTCTCATTGTTCGATCTGAGAGACACAAACTAAACATCCCAGTGTTCTTGATCTTAATCTCCGCCTGTAGAGCAGTGTTCCTCCAGCACTCCGGTTGTTCTGTGTCTGATTAAATGTGTTGAAATGTGTTTTCAGTCTCCAGCGAACGTGGAGAAATCTCTGCGTCTCTTCAGTCAGCTGCTCAACAACAAGATGTTCCTGTTGACCTTCATCCACACGCTGGAGGCTCAGAGGTCGTTCTCCATGAGAGACCGAGGGAACGTGGCCTCGCTGCTGATGGCCGCTCTGCAGGTGACTGATTAATACATCTGTCATTATCAATTATCACCAATCATCTGTGGCTGCTGATAGTTTTTAAAACTTTTCAGTGCCTTTAAAGCATTGAGCAGTTGATAGTTGATATGGTTTTTGTAGATGTTAATATGTTAATAACTGGAAATAACAACAACATTTGGTTGATTTATCACTGTTAATAACAATGTGATTGATTTATGTCATGATTAATAACTGTGTGTGTGTGTGTGTGTGTGTGTGTGTGTCAGGGTCGGATGGAATATGCCACCGTGGTGTTAAAGCAGCTTCTCGCCGACCTGATCGAGAAAAACCTGGAGAACAGGAATCATCCCAAACTGCTGCTGAGGAGGTTTGTGCCCCGCCCCCAATCATTATTGATCCATTATTATCAATCAATCAATTAGAAACTGATACAGAGAGAATATTCTTACTCACTGGTCGTTAGATGTTGACCTTTGACCTTTGACCTCTGTGTGCAGGACGGAGTCAGTCGCGGAGAAGATGTTGACAAACTGGTTCACTTTCCTGCTGCATCGTTTCCTCAAGGTAACACCTCACATCCTTCCCTTTTCTCCCTTCTTTCCTTATTCCTCCACTCCATCCCTCCTTGCTTTATTCCTTTCGTCCTTCCTCCCTTCCCTTTTTTTCTCCCTCCTCTCCCTAATTGACCTCGTTAAGCTCCCTCTCTCTGGTCTGACCGAGACCAATCAGATCAGAGCTGCAGTTAATTTATTCATGACATCTAGAGGGGGATCGGTTAAATCCTGCTGCTTGATGACTTTTTGGGGTAGAAGCTTGATGATGAAACGCTCTGATGTCTCACGGCGTCCGTCTCTGTGTGTCAGGAGTGCGCCGGCGAGCCGCTCTTCATGCTGTACTGCGCCATAAAGCAGCAGATGGAGAAGGGGCCGATCGACGCCATCACGGGAGAAGCTCGCTACTCTCTGAGCGAAGACAAGCTGATCAGACAGCAGATCGACTACAAGCAACTGGTAACACACTCACACACACACACACACACAGACTCACACACACATATTAAAGTATGGTGCACACTAAGAACTGTGCCTCCTCCCCCTCCCCATCAGACCCTGATGTGCATCCCTCCGGAGGGCGAGGCGGGGACGGAGGTGCCGGTGAAGGTGTTAAACTGTGACACAGTGACTCAGGTCAAAGACAAGCTGCTGGACGCCGTTTACAAAGGGATCCCGTTCTCACAGAGACAGCAGGCGGACGACATGGACCTCGGTGAGCGTCCACGTCCCGCGACTCAACATCAGAAACAAACGCCACGTGTTGTAAAATCGCTGAATGAGCTGCTCGTCTCGTGCGTCAGTGTGTAACCGTGTGTTTGTGTTGGTCAGAGTGGCGTCAGGGTCGACTGACCCGCATCATCCTGCAGGACGAGGACGTGACAACCAAGATAGAGAGCGACTGGAAGAGACTGAACACACTGGCACACTACCAGGTACACACACACACACACACACACACACACACACACACACACACACAGTGTGAGTTCTGGTTCTTTATCAGTTCCTGCAGTGACTCGTGTGGAGTTCATCCAGATTGTTGACGGGATAAGAATCGACTGAATGGATAATTAGTCAGCTGATTGATGGAGAGCGATCGGCTGATTAATTTGATGTGTTGCTGTGTGTTGCTAGGTAACAGACGGCTCGTTGGTGGCGCTGGTCCAGAAGCAGGTTTCTGCCTACAACATCGCCAACTCCTTCACCTTCACCAGATCCCTGAGCAGATACGGTACGGTGTGCCCACACACACACCCACACACACACACACACACACACACACACACACACACACACTCACACACACACACACAGATAACTTATCTCTTTCTCTCTTTGTGTCGTCAGAGTCGTTACTCAGGACGTCCAGTAGTCCTGACAGTCTGAGATCCAGAGCTCCCATGATCACCCCGGACCAGGAGACAGGTACTGCAGCAGCAGAGGGGATAATACTACACTGATAGAAGTAGTACTGCAGTAGTAGTAGTAGCAGTTGTATTGTGTGTACACTCAGTGGACAAAGGAATTATCTGTATTTCCATTACACCTGCCACAGTTTTAGGCTCCAAAAGAAAAGTGATGAGGATTTTTGTAATGACATTAACATTTTCATTTGTCAGTGATATTGAAGAAATAAGAAAGTAAAGAATAAAAACCTGAATCAGATCAGTATTTACTGTGACCTTCAATCTTTAAAGCAGCTCCAGTTCTGCGTAGTTCACCTGCTCACAGTCTGTCGGGTTCTCGGCTGCTCGGTTCTTCTCAGCGTCTTGATCTGTGGACTCAGCTCCACTGTACATGATGGTTTTACCTGGTTACCAGAAACAAACCACTGCTCCGTGGGTGGAACCTCTCAATCATTTGTCTTTGTTCCTGTTTTGCTTTGTTCGTGAATGTTGACTGTTCACTGCAGAACAAAAGATAATTGAATGTTCTATGTCGGACATTTAATACAACAAAGCCTCGGTTATTAAACACAATAACTGTCAGATGTGTTGATAATGAAAATAATTGTTGGAATAATTTGACTGTTTTTCTGTTCATTAATTATTAGAAAAAAACTGGAAGCTATTTGATAAGAAGCAAAAAAAAACTGAACAATTAAAACAAATGAATATAAATTGAAACGAGCAGCAACACAACATGAAGGACGGAGCAGCAGCAGAGCAGCGTTCTGACAAAACCTTCTGTATTCACACCACGTGGAACAAAATGATTCATACTCAACTGGGATTTTACCCGACATACTTTAACTTAAGTAATACGTCAATCTACTTGTAATCGAGTATTTTTAAACGTGGTATAAATAATGAATTTACGTCGTGTTTGTGTTTTCAGGAACTAAACTGTGGCATCTGGTGAAAAATCACGAGCACAGCGACCAGAGAGAAGGAGACAGAGGCAGCAAGATGGTTTCTGAGATCTACCTGACCAGACTGCTGGCAACCAAGGTAACACACACACACACACACACACACACACACACACACACACACACACACAAACCAACACTGACAACAATCTGCTGTGTTGTTCAGGATTAATGAACACCCCTGTGATCGAGACCAAACACTGTCAAACTACGACTAAGCACAAATGAGTTTGTTCTTTTGTTATTAGTCCGTGTGTGTATTTTAAATTATGGTCGTACAAATGTTAAACGTCATGCTTTGGTCATCTCACCACCAGGGGACGCTGCAGAAGTTTGTGGACGACCTGTTTGAGACAGTGTTCAGCACTGCGCACCGCGGCTCTGCTCTCCCATTGGCCATCAAGTACATGTTTGACTTCTTGGACGAGCAGGCCGACAAACGGCAGATCACCGACCCGGACGTCCGACACACCTGGAAGAGCAACTGGTGAGAAAACCAAACCGCAGGATGAGACTCGACTCAAAGGTTGTGTCAGACAGACGAGCGTGATCTAACCCGGTGTTTCCTCCGTGCAGCCTTCCTCTCAGGTTCTGGGTCAACGTCATCAAAAATCCTCAGTTTGTGTTCGACATCCACAAGAGTAGCATCACTGACGCCTGTCTGTCGGTCGTCGCTCAGACCTTCATGGACTCCTGCTCGACGTCCGAACACCGACTCGGCAAAGACTCGCCGTCCAACAAGCTGCTCTACGCTAAAGACATCCCCAACTACAAGAGCTGGGTGGAGAGGTAGCTCACACGCTAGCTAGCTAATATATATAGAACACAATTATCTAAATGGAGAGGTATCTAACATGCTAACTAGCTAATATATGTAGAGCAAAAAGCAAGGTGAAGGAGTAGCTAACTTTGATACTGTAACTGTAGCTAACATTAGCGACCCAGCTAACAAGTAAATTTTCTTTTTCTTTAATTTCCCCTCACACTTGAAAAAGCTCAGCAGATAAAGCTCAACAACACCAGAGGTGGTGATTATTCACATGATCATTTAACGCAGCGTCATTTCACATAAGTCACATTAATTGGTGCTGACGACAGAAAAGACAATTGGCCGTTAAAGAATTAAACCATTAGTATCAGAGACTTAGGTAATTATCTGGATTAATGAACCGTAAAACAACACATTAACTTGTTGATACAATTATTAAAGTGTGAGGTTATACTAAACTGTGTGTGTGTGTGTGTGTGTGTGTGTGTGTGTGTGTGTGTGTGTGTGTGTGTGTGTCCTGCAGGTACTACAGGGATATTGCAAAGATGCCCAGCATCAGTGATCAGGACATGGACGCGTACCTGGTGGAACAGTCCCGTCTCCACGGAAATGAGTTCAACACACTGAGTGCGCTCAGCGAGCTCTACTTCTACATCAACAAGTACAAGGAGGAGGTGAGGGGGGGGGGGGRGGGTCTCATCTCTCACACTTAGTCGCTGATTCCAGGTGTGTTTCACCTGTTGACCATGAATGAGCACGACACTGTCACACATTGTCAGAGAAAATTTAAACATATTCACTGTTCCATCCAACACTGTGTCCACTGGGGACAATGAATATCTGTACAACATTTTATGGGAATCCTATATTGTCATCTATAGAACATGACCAGTAACTGGGGAAATATCTAAATCAAGGCCCAGGGTACATTCATGCTCTCCAGAAGCTGATGGGACCACACACGATGACCTTAAAGCTTTGTTATTGATCCTGGTAAAGAGCTATTGGTTTGCTTTTACAATTTAATCAATTGGATCCTTAAAGCAGACGTAAAGAGCTTTTGAAAACTGAAATGACGTCTAGTTTTTACACTGTTCATCAGTGGAGACATCAACTCACATTAGACTGGCCTCATTGTCTTTCCTCTGTAGATCCTGACAGCGTTGGACCGGGACGGTTACTGTCGCAAACACAAACTGAGGCACAAACTGGAGCAAGCCATCAATCTGATGTCTGGGAGCAGCTGAGAGGAGGAGAAGGACAAGTGGACCAATGGACTGATGGATCGATTGGGGGATGGGGGAGGATGAATGGGGGAGGGGGAAGTCAGAGCATTTTGTTTTTCTGAACTGTTTGAACAGTCAGCTGAACTGAGCCGTGTTGGATTGAACTGACGGCCACAGCTCCGGTCCTTAGCAATCAATCCATCAGTAATTTATTTGTCAATGGACTGATTGATTGATATGAAGATTTACTGGCTGGCTGGGACCCCGACTACCTCCGTCTGGTGGGTATTGGGGCAGAAAATCAGTTTCCAAACCAAATTGGAAAAAATTCACAACATAACTTCAATGTGGAATCGGATGGAGTCATTTTGTGGAAAAAAAGAAACCTTGATGCATCACTTGGTTTGGATTTAAATCTGCTGAAGGTGCAAGACGTGGCTGTGGAAAAACCTGGACACGAGGCTGAAGACTGAGGCAGTTTTCACCAAACGAGGGATGTGATGTCAGGACTACTTGACTTGAGGATTCCAAACCTGGTTTGGAACGTCTGGATGCTTGGTTGAAGAGCAAAAGGTCAAGTCAACTTTCTGTCAAAGCTACAAACTCAAAATACTTGGTCTGTTCTACAAATGAAGACCTGATGTTACCTTAAAGATGTCATCACAAGTGTAACGAATCCAGGCTAAATATCCAAAGTTCAATCCAGGACTGAGAGCAGAAGTTTGGGGCCTCTTACCGATGTCGTTACTTTGGACTCTTTTGTCCTCACGCTGAAATCCTGAGCTTAGAAGATCAGGTCGAGAGAGGAAGCGTCAAAATCCAGTCCTACCTTGAACTTGCTTGAGAAGGATCCGTAAAGTTGTTTTAAGCTTTAATGGCAGAGAAGGAAGCAGATAAACTGATGAAAACAGACGACTTGACCGAACCTTCAAACTGCTGCTCAGACTCAGAAGATGTGGAACGCAGGTGGAAAACGACAGGATTCATCTTTGCAGTTAATTGAGTCGACCTTGGGCTGTTCGGCCAAACCTTTTCAGGTTCTAGAAGTTTCTAAGTTTTAAATAACCACTCAATGTTGTTTCTCTGGACAATCACTCTGTACCACAGCACACTGAGCCTGATGCCTACCGACCGACCAGTACCTGTGTCCATAAACCCGTCCTTTTCTCCCACCGTCTTCTTTTCCTTTCCTTCCATCCTCTAATCTCCTATTAATGCTCAACTTCATGTCACCTCCTTCTCCATCTTCCCTTTCTTTGTTTATTTTTCACCCCACCTCTTCTTATTTAACCCTCCCCCCCTGACCCTGCTCCATCATTGGTCAGCAATGCTGGCCTCTGGCCATTCTATTGGCCAGGAAGACTCTTTAGTAATGTACTGCCCGACCAATCAAGACTGTGGATCTCAATTGTGAACAATTAATCAGAAATTAATTGGAAAAAAATACAGAATTGTGTTTTGAATACATTCCAGCACAGACACACAGGCAAGGTCTGTAAATAAGCAGGTTGACCCATCGATTATCGGAAGTTAAGAACTTCCAGAAGCAACTGATCTTCATGTTTCAGGACCAGAACGACCTGGACGACGGGGTTCTGGATTCAGCACCAGTTGGTGAACTTTGACGCTGGTTGGTGTTGATCATTTTATCGTCAGACCTTGCACATGTACCCACATAGAGCCATGCTTTACAGCGCTACACTAACCGTGCCCAGGAGGAAATACTGTGCAGAGCTATAAGCCCAGTGCCATGTAAGGAACGGACCGGATCATGTCAGAGCTGGACCGGACTTGGACCAAACCCAGAAACAACCCAGAATGGAGTTTTAACTGGATCGGACTCAAGAACTCTTAAGACTTGTGGCCATAATTGTACACAACAAAAAAAGAAAGATAATAATAATAATAATGATGATGATGATAAAGTATAAAATAATTAAAAAAGAAAGGAAAAAAAGAAATATTAAAATGTTAACATGTAATAAGAACTTTGTGGATATGACAGTTTGGATTTTACGGAGCTGACCTTGTATAAAAATGAAAGTTATGCTACATCAGAGTCTGGAGAAAAAGATGGAGAGCCAGGAGACGGAGCAATGGATTAGACCACACCCACCCCGTCCTCACACTGTCGCACCAGAACCGACTGAACTGGATCCACCGGGATTTATCTGGACTGAGCGAGTCTGTTCTGTTCGAACCTGACGGAGCTGAACTTCAGCTCGGGAGGAAACAAACTGGACTTTTTGGTACTTTTTATCCAAATGCTGTGTTCTCAAAGGGGCGTGTCAGTTGCTGGATGGAGGGTTGGCCCGGAGGTTCAGGCGGCGTTTGACGGGGTTAAATTGTTGCATGTTTGCTTCGGACGGAGTCTTTGTTTTGATGAGCTCTTGTACATCCTAAAGACGAATGAGGGCGTTTTCACACTGCCGGCTCAGTCTCAGTTCTACGTTCTAATTTAAAACTATATTTGATGTGCAGACGCAGGAATCGTAACTCCGCCCACCCGGATGCACAGAGGAGCTTCAGACCAACTGTAACTCAAAAAGACTGAACCCGGTGTGTCACGCTCAAAGTTCTCTGTATGAATGATGGTTAAATGTCAGGTTGAGGACTTTCTAACATGGCAATGCTGCACCCCTCATCCCCCCCCCCCCCCCGCCCCACCCCCACCTCTTTTTTTCTGTGGCAGAACATTCACACTCAGCACAACTGAGTTGTAGGTTTGTCAACTTTAAATTTCGACAGTTGTATCTGACCTTTTGAGGAAAACACAGTGTTGAGCATCCACAGGTTTTTTTGAATTTCACAGACACATTTGAGATTTTCTGAGTCTGATGGCTAAAAATGAGATGGTCCTGTTTTCCTCTTCAGAAAAAATAGGTCTTGTTATTTGCCGTCATTATCGCCTTGAATCCACAATTGTTAGCGCCCTCTGCTGGATCACGAGACAAACTGCTTCAGACGTTTCAAGATTATTTTGTAAATTCCAAACAGTTTAAACAAAAATTTCCCCCAAATGTTTGAATGAATGTTTGAATAATGAAGAAAAGAGTGAGCGCTAGTCGACGACAAGTGATTATCAATATGTAGCATCTTTCAGTTTCACGTCTCGTGCAAAAAAAGTATGAATTTAAAAAACATCCCCGAAACCTGTTGAACACTTCAAATACTTCAAACCACTGTTTCTGATGTCATGAGCATGAAATACCTGCGGCCAGGAAGTCATTCACTTCAAATTAAAACACATCTGGTTTAAAGATCTGACTATAAAAACTGAATCGTTCACCAGTGTATGTTTTACCGCTCTGCGTCTTAAAGACTCGTCGTGTCGTCTGCAAATGTTCTGCCACAGTCGAAGCGTCTCTCTGGCTCTGTGCGACGCCATGAAGCTACAAAGCACCTTTTTTTTTTTTTCTTTCTTGATGTTCTATCACTGTCTTTGAATCTTTGGGGCCAAAAGGACCCGAGTGAGGAAGAGGAGGAGGAAGGGTCCTGATAAAAGACTGCCTTTTAGATGATTAATTATAGAACAGGGAGGGAAGCCACTACCATACCAATACCACTGTTCATCCGTGTGTGTGTGTGTGTGTGTGTGTGTGTGTGTGTGTGTGTGTGTGTGTGTGTGTTATCCTCTCGCTGCTGCTGCTGCTGTGCAAACTCTACCGTTAAACCACTGATCGTATCTGCGGCTCAATTAAAAATCTTTTTCTTTGAGGTGAAATCACTCGATCGTTATCTTGACAAAAAAATATGCGATTGGATCTTCGCTCTCGATGAAAGGAAAAAAAAAAACAATGTATAAAAATGTGATCGTCCTGTAAACTCAAAGTCATCAAAAGTGATAAATGCAGTCAAATTGTTCTCGTTGCCGTTTGGATTGGAATCTACCTTTTAGGTGGCGTGATGAGATGATAACGTCAAGGAGGAGGAGGAGGAGGAGAGGGTCTCTGTCAACACGCAGGAGGGGGAGGAGGAGGAGGAGGAATAAACAAATCCTCAGGAAGGAAAGGGATTATGTACAGATGATGTAAAGGAGGAGGAAATCCCTGCTGCATGCTGAAAAGTGAGGAAGATGAGGAATTACAGTTTGACTGCAGAGAGGAGGAAGAGGGTTTATCATGAAAGAAGGAGGAACAGTCCTGTTGTTCTCCAAATGCAGAGGAGAAATAGATGTTGGAGGAGAACGCAGAAGGATCATGATGAAAAGAGGAGGTCAGATTTTGGTATGCTAAAGTGAGAGGCAGCAGGAGGAGGAGGGATGGAAGGACACGCTTCTGGAATACTGAGAGCGGGAGGGAGGGAGGAGACAGGGAGAATACTGATCAGGGAGAGAGAGACGGAGACATCGTCATCCATCAAACCGGCCGAGGAAGGAAAGGCCTCCGAGAGGAGGAGGAGGAGAAAATGTTCCTGCAGAGATGTGTAGGGGACAGGAAGGATGAGGAGGAGACAACACGCTTCATATGTTCGTTCCATGTTTCATTTCATCAGGTTTAGTTTCATACGTACGTCCTGTCGTCATCACCTACATGGGCGGAGTCTACCTGTACTTGACCAGACGTCGGCCTGTTGGTCTGGACCGTGTCTGAGGAACCTTTCACGCCTGATGTTGAGGACCCTTAGTCTGGATCAGGGTCTGGTGGTCTACGTGTCACAGTCCTGCACTCGCTGCGTGAGTCCAGCTCCACCTCCAACTCCTGCCGTCAGTGATCCCTCTGACCAATGTGACGATCTCTAACTCAATATCTCAGCTCTGATCAGATCAGTAAAATAAGATGAGAAAAAAGTGTTTAAATGAAACTTTGATTCTCTGTGGTTGGTTTTTTCACAGTGGCAGCAGCAACATGAGTGTGTGTTTGTTTCAGTCTTGTTTAAACACACACACACACACACACACATTTTAACGTCATCCATCTTTCAAACACACACAGCTGGGAGGAGGCAACAGAGACTGAGGAGGCTGGTGGGAGGGTCTGGTCTAATTCCTGGAACAGCAAACAAAACTGCATTGATACCTTGTTTTTAGCTGCAGTGTCCGTCCATCACCCCCCAAACATACACACACACACACACACAGATTTTAACATTCTCCGACATTGAGATATTTATTGATTATTTTTTAATTTATTTTTTATGATGAGTTTTATTTATTGTGGGAGGATGTAGTGGAGTTTATTAGAGAGATCACATCAGATGTTTACTACACACACACACACACACACACACACATTCATGTCATTATATATAACATGCAAATGTGCAGGTTTGGAAACGACCATCTACCATCACAAGCTGAGACGTTAGTATCTAGTATTTATCTCAGGTTTCTTCTAAACATTGAATCTTGTGTTGAAATTTGTTCTTCAATTTTCCTGTTGTACCAAAGTGTAAAAGTGTTTTTCTTTTTTAATTGATTAGTTTCAGTTAAATCCACTTAAATGTCTGTAGATGAATCTTTGAGCCGCAATCTCTTCAAATTTGTTAAGAAACAGGACTGATGGTGGAGTTGAGGCGAGTTGGTCGTTTCCCTTCCTGTCCATGTTCAAGTCCATCGATTGGTCCGATTGCTAAAGGAGACGTTGGACAAATCGATTTATTTGAATCAATGAAATCCTTCATTGGACTTCGCTCACGGTCAGAACACGACATTCAAATCTTTCGACTCCTCTGGCTCTTAATCCAGACGATGTTTTCCAGGAGTCGGGCGGGAGAAGGGACAGAAACATCTAGAGATTCTCTGGTTTCATTTAAACCCATGAAACCAGAGAATCTCTTTCAGCTATAAGATGAATGTTTTTCTTGTTTCTCACTGGAGATGAACAGAAGCTAAATTTATCATAGGAACTCAAATATTATCTCAAAGTTCGCTCGGTATAAAAAGATGTTTTAGGATTGAACCTCTCAGCCTCAGACGCAGGTCACAGTTTTCTTATTGGTTATATGGGAAATCAGATTAATTCCATTTTCTACCGATTGGAGAAAATCAGAAACCCACTGAAGTGAGACGAGTAAAACCAGTGACCACAATTCAAATCAGAGTGTCCCAAGCCCCTCCCACCCCTGCAGACTCCTGACCTACGATTGGTTGACTGACAGATGAGTCGAGCCATTAGGGAATCCCAGTGGGCGTCATTGTACCATAGTAACAGCGAATCACTGAACTCCCCGCTGACTTCAAACGGGGAGTCTGATGTCTTTATTGTACCATAATATGATTACTGTAATTATTACTATGATCATGATTATTATTATTCTGAGCAGGTGCTTCTCAGCTGCAGCGGGATCAGGATCCAACAAGTTCAAATTAACTTTATCTGTAAGCACTTTTCTGATTTTTAAACGAACACCAAACTCCCAGATCTCGCCAAGTCGTTCCCCTTTTGGGTCCCGAGTCGCCGGCTGAGAAACGCTGCTCGTACAGGATCTTGTGTCTTAGCTCATGATGGGATTGTTCATCCAGGCGGCGCTTCAGGTGCTTCAGGTGTCAGATCGCCAGGCTTCGGGCAGAGTTGAAATGAGGAGTCTGCTGTGATGCCACAAACCAATATAACAAAACGTTAAATAGAAGTCAGAAACTGGTCATTGCGATAAATCCCATTTGATGCAAATGTGGAATTAGCTTCACATCAGCAGAATCTGAGACTCCCTGATTGGATGCTCTCTCGGACTCTCCTGGACGTCTCTGGTCCTTTTCGACGTCAGTCTCTCTCTGTTGAAACACTCACAGCTGTGAACGACGTGACGTCACAGCGCTCCTGTCCTCTCAACCCTCAAACGAAGCCCTGTGATCCTCAGCGCCGCCGCTCAATCACTCAGCCTGAAAAACCCAGAAAACACACATCGCCTTGATTCAGCGCTTTCCAGGATGTAGTCAGGGCCCATTTTTTTATACCATTTGCCATTGCCTTGTTTTTATTTTTTTATTTTTGCTGAGTTACAATGTAATGATGATGATGAATCTTCATGTAATAGCCTGTGTCAGTTTTTATACCATTGCCATTGCCTTCTGCTGAGTTTGTATATTTGTGTGATTTCACTAAAGTGTAATGGAAAAGTTGGAACGTTTTATTGTGTTTTGTTCTTGTTCGTTTGTAGCTGCTTAGTTCAAATGAGGAAGAATTTATCTTTAAACATCTAAAGGTGGAGTTAACAATTCTGAGAAAATTACAGCAATCATAAAACAATTCTCCTCTAGAGCTCTGCCTCCGTAATTCAGACACGCGTGTTGCCATAGTGACTTACTCCGTGTTGAAGTCGATCTCGTCTGTTAGCAAACAAACAACGCAGCTGTCTCTGCACACGTCTTCTTACCTTTCAGCTCTCAGAGGTCTCCACCATCTTTGGATTGACCATCAGGACAAAGACCGACCATTAAAACATCCATGAAGTTTTTACTGACCAATCGCCTGCTTTGCCTAAAACTAAAAACTTAAATCGGCGCTATCCATTAGCATGTTGCAGATTCACCGTCTTTCGCTCCCCCCCCCCCCCCCCCCCCCCCGGCACTCTTCTTTTTCCTCTTTCCTTCATCCTATGCACGAACACAAACGGCCCCTGCTGCTGCTGCTGCTGCGGCTGGAATCGACCCAAACCTTTCATTGTTTCGTGTTTACAGAGACGGGGTTGTAGAGGAACACTCCAACTTTAATGGTTTAGTTTATAAAAAGGAGAAGAAAAACGTCTGTCACAATTTCTCCGAGCTGTGATGTCTTCAGTACATTTGTTCTTAACTGTAAAACATTCAAATCAACGTGATGAATGACAAAGAAAAGCAGCTGACTCCTCGTACATCAGAAGATTTTCTGCTCGTTTGTAAGGTGACTTTAAGTTCGGTCTCCAGCTGCACCGCCAGCCGTCAAACGCTGGCAAGGGTACAGACTAATTAATGGAGAACAATGATCCTAGGCTTCGCGCGGCTTATCGGCAGCGGCAACAAAGGAGCCGTTATCACAGGTTTTCATTATCAGGTCATACACTTGATTAAAACAGCGACGTGTGGAGCAGCCGTGGGACTGAAGAGAAGCTCAGGACTTATGACAAAGTGTTAAATCATTTCCCAGGTTCTTAATGAGCAGCTTCCAGAAACAAACTCAAACAGTAAATACGACTTTACTGTCGTGTTTGTTCCAAATTTCAGGTGAAGGTTTGAACCTGTGATTCAGGAACAGCACATCCTCTTAATCCTCATTGTTCAATCAGCATCTGTGGATTAGTCTGAATCCGACTGAACCTGCAGACTTTAATCTCTATTGTACGGATTCGTGAGGATTCACGCTGCACGTCGTCTGTTCAACCACATTTCAAACGTTCTGCCGGATCCAGGTCCGAGTCGGAGGAGGTCACTGAAGGTCAATGTCATGTGACTTAAAGCATTATCCTGCATGAAGTAGCTTTTGAAAGATGGTGAGTGTGAAAACATTAATCCAGAAATGACACTAAAATATCTTGGATGTGGACGTATACGCCTCCATCTTGCTCTGTAAACATCATGTGGCGTCAGAGTTTAAGCAGAAGTGATGGGGGGGTGGATCAGCTCATACACCCACCTGACCAATCATGAGTCAGCATCAATGCCGTCTATCATCGAATAACTAATTAGAACCAAACTTATCGAACACAGGAACACGTGAACATCAGTGTGACAAGAACTTCTTTTAGTTTGGTCCATTTCCCATCTGATAACATGGAGGAGGCAGGGTTAATGACCGGTACTGCAGCCAGCCACCAGGGGGTGATCAAGGTGATTTGGCTTCACTTTTTGTTGCCTTATGGCGTCCATTTTTATTTACAGTCTGTGTTAAGGAGACGGATCAGTTCTCTTGGAGCAGCAGCAGCTGGTGGACATCAGAGGAACTGCGGCGGGTTAGTACTGAAGGCTGCTGATTGGTTCAGAGGCAGAAACAGGAAGCGCTGAGCGCCGGTTTGTGTCTGGACGTCTTTAAATCCAGTCGATGGTCCGGACCTGCGGCTCGTTAACGTGACGAGCAGAGACAAACGAGCTGCGTTACAGATTAAAGCTTTGATTTGATTAGTGTGTGTGTGTGAAACCTGTAGATGCTGACTGGGCAGCTGGTTAACAGGCAGCCTGACTCAGGCCTTATACACACACACACACACACACACACACACACACACACACACACACAGAGCCACTTTCCCAAATTAACCGTTAATCATAAACGGTAAAAAAGCGATGAGTCATGAGCTTCCTCGTCTCTGCTGCTGCTGCTGCTGGAAGCCTCACACACACACACACACACACACACACACACACACACTCACTCATCTGTTGGTGGTCTGACTTATAATTTCTTCCGTCAGCGAGTTTTCTGTTTTCTGCTGATGGTTGTGGACGTCCAGAGGTTTTCAGATCAAAATATTTTCCTGTGCAGTTTTATTCAGACACATTGTGGATTAAATTATCTTTTAAACATCGATTCTAATAATTTACCCATCAGACACCTGCACTTTGACAGTCTTTGGTTTGGTCCATGTCCCATCTGCTAACACGGAGAAGGTGGGGTTTATGACCTATACTGCAGCCAGCCACTAGGGGGCGATCCAAGTTTTATGGTAGCTTCCGTGTCGTCCACGTTTATCTGCTGTGATGTGAGCTGCTAAGATTAGCACATCCAGCTAAGTAGCTCAATACCACTGTGACATCATCTGGAGCTTTCTGGTCTGTTTGACTCTAAATGATTTTAATTGATAAATGAACATGAGCTGTTTGAAGACGACTTGAAACTAGAGACAAAAACTCGTGGGGACAAAGTTTTCTGACGTTAGAAAGTCAAGAGACATTTTCTATAGAAACTACCAGTGGAGTCGCCCCCTGCAGGTCATTGCACAGAACACATGTTTCATGTCTCCGTCCAGTCTTACAGAGTGTTTGTTCCATGACCACTGATTATTTCCTGGTAATGAATGATTTTGCTCAACGTTCCAACAACTTCTCGATTCTCGGAAACTTGTTTGAAAATGTTGCTGTGGATTCATCTCTCGATGTTTTGAGTCCAGTTTTGTTCAGTTCGGGTCGAAACCTTTCGGACTTATCGACTGAGATTTACTTGTCAGAGCCGGAGACTGAAGACGATCCTGCAGGAAGACGCTGCTGCTTCATCCAGTCTGTTTCTCTCATTGATCATATTAAAGTTAATGATCGGTCTGGCTCATTAACTCTTAATTAGTGAGCTGTGGGTGAATCTGTCCCCTGCTGGAGAGCGTTATAACATTACAGTTGTATTATCAGAGTGTGAGTCAGCAGGTCAGACCTGTTTCTGTTAATTACTCCACGATGAGCAGCTTTAATGACCTGACATGTAGAAATAGATTTAACTGTATCAGCAGTAAATGTTGCTCCAGGCTTGATTCTCTTTTTATAACTTTGTGAGCTGGAGCTCCGCAGGATGTTTGACTCCTCTTCATCACGGCAGCTTCGTCTTCTGTGGCAACGAAGAGACTCAGTATTCATAGACAATATCCTTTTTAAATGATTATAATTATTAGTCTTTATTTGACCAGGAATCATCGTGCTTCAGTGACAAACCATCTTCTAACGAGATAACGGTGCCATGTTTGAGTGTCACAGTTCAACTCGACATGTAAACAACAACAAGGGAATGAAACATTTCTTGTCGTGTCCTAGTGCAGCTCTGTTACTAGGCGACAGCAGTAAGGGCGGGGCAAGATGCAGACACCAATCACAGAAATCCTCTGCAGACCAGACCATCATTTCGAAGGACACAGTCTTTGCTGCCTCCTCGGTGGGCCGTGTAGACCCCGCCCTCCTGAGGAGGTGGCCCCTGAATTGAGACACAACTACTGTGACGTGATACGACGGGAAAAGAGTTTAAGTTCTGAGACATCATCACATCACATCACTTTTATTAAAGCCTGAAAATAAAAGATAAGATAAGAAGATCACTATCATGTCATCATCAGCGCCATCTGACATCAGACGCTTGCCAAAACAAATCAGGTCCAGCCTCCACGTAGGAGATCTTAGTGTCGTGTTCAATAATGTAGTGCGACCCTCAGGGGATGTTATGAAAATTTAAAAAGGTCCCTCGCCCCTGGTGCTGGAGAATCGACGGTGGCTTGCAGGTGACATAAAAACATGAACGTCCCTCTGCAGAGCCAATGTTCAGTTTGTCCAACTCTGGTGCAACAAGACCGACTCACGACAACAAGCTTCTTTTCAGGGGATTAAAAACTGTGTAAAACTCTCGTCTTTGTTTCTTGAACTTGATATTTCTCATAAAAACAAGAGAACCAGACTCTGAGAAACCTGCTCCGCCTCCACGCTGCTGGATGTTGTTCTTCATCTTGTCCCGACCAACATGTTGGTTCATCCAGGACCTAGACACCCGTCCCCTCAGAGACCGAAACCCAGTCACAGTCTGGGGAGTCGTCTCTGTGTGAGTGTGTTATTAATAAATGATGGTTGTTATGGGAGGGGCCCATTAACTGCAAATGTTAGAGAGAGAGGAGAGAAAAACACCAAACACACTCAGATAGAAGGTTTCTATTAGAGAGAGTCTTCAGGGAGATCAGAAGGCTTTCTGTCTGGCATCGCTGTTGCTATGGTTACCATTCCATTTCGGGAAAAAGACGGTTTCAGTTTGAAAAGTCCAGGGTTGGGTTTGTTTTAGTCTGGACCACGTACTTAAAATAAAGATGAGAGACATGACAGTCTGTCGTCCATCTTTATTTACTGTTGTTGATCTGGACGGACGAGTCTTCTTGATTGGTTCTTATCAGTCACATGACTCGTCTGCCAGTGGTGAGTGCAAAGCGTTGCTGACGTTCCGCTGCAGTTCTGCTGCGTGGCTCACACGTTCACCGGAAACATTTCAACACTCGGCTCATGTTGACGGACTGAAGACTTTGAGGTTCTGAGGTCCCCACAGGAGCACAGAGATAACAGTCATCCAGGGATTAGACTGTGCCCACCACCTCTCCCTCTGAGCCGCAGTTAATGAGGCTGTCTGTGTTTGTTAGAGAGATGAAAATATCCATAATCCCACAAGAGAAAATTAACCACCACCCTCCAGAGAT